TTTTTTTTTTTTTTTTTTTTTTAATTTCTAAAAGGCTAGATGGTTAATTGAGAGCTTGATTCAGTATATCAGCTGGAAACCAGAAGATGGAAAGGGTTAGATTTTAGTGTGTGGACTCTGGGAATTTCAATAAGAGCTTTTAAGTGTGGTCTGTGCTCTTGAGACAGCTTAAAAAAAGAATCTTAAAAGTTGAAGAATTATATTGAGCGTATTACTCATCTATTGCTGCCTAAGTTATCCTAAAACTTAGTGGTTTAAAACAACAAGTGTTTATTACCTCACAGTTTCTGTGTGTCAGAAATTAAGAAGTGGCTTTCTGGGGTACCTGGTTCTGAGTCTCATGAGGTTGCAGTGAAGCTATCAGCCAGGGATGCTGCCACTCAAAGGCTTGATTAGGGCTTCAGGATTAGCCTCAAAGCTGGCTCACTCACATGCTTGGCAATTGGTTCTTTTTTGGCAAGAGGTCTCAGTTCTTCACTGGTGGGCCTCAATGAGCTACTTAAAAGTCATCATGGTATGGTGGCTGGCTTTCCCTAGGATAAGAGAAAGACAGAATCCACAGTGTCTTATATAACTTAGCCACATATGCCATATAGCAATTCCTATTGGTGACACAGGTCAGCCCCATTTATTGTGAGAGGACTACCTAAGAGTGTAATTACCGGCAGCAGAGATCATCAGGAGCCACCTTGGAGGCTGGCCAGCCACCTTTTTTGAGCTTATATTTTTTCATAAAACCAACGTGACTTTCACACCATTATAAATATGAAACATTTGTCATGGTAAACATGTAGGTGTTTTTGCTTGGATAGTCCATTATCTTCAGTGATTTTTTTTTTAATTGGGCTTATTTTTGTATTCAAAGCAGTGACATAAGACTAACTTGGGTCAGTTTAAATTGTAAAAGGTAACATTATAAGTAGTCCATTGTCTTGAAGCAATTCATTTCATGGAAGTTACTGTTTTTTATTATACCTTTCCCCAACATGGAATAGAATCCTTGGAACAAGAGAAGGAAAAAGGAGATTATTACTCTCATCTGGAAGCACAACTGTGAATTCAGTTATTGCCATACATTATCTTACAAAGCAAAATTTCTGGGCGATTTAGGATCAGTGCTTGGAAATCTATGTTGAATATGCTTTTGTTAATTTTTACTGTTAGCATTTCTGTTAGCTATCAGCATTTCCCTTCTTTCTCTTTACATTCATCAAAGCATTCTAAAAGTTTGATTTAGTATACTTGCATTATTTTATATAACTTCACTTACCATGGTCATGATTGACCATGAGTAATTGCAATTGTTTGGTTTCTAAAGCTTTTCTTATGTTCAGAGTCCCCATATGTGTCACTGTCAGCAATAAACTCTCCTTTGGGCTTTGCTTCTAGACTCCTGTCTATCTTCCCGTTCCAACAGACCTGATGATATTTCCAACCCCTAGGCTTTCTATTCCAGCACTGGAAGCTTCTGGTGCACACTGAGTTGAGTGTGGAGGGTGTGTCAGGAGAGTAAAGACTTAGGACTAACTGGTTTTGAGGTGTAGGTAAGGCAAAATACAGCAGTTCTGCAGGCAGTTGGAAAATGGTGGTCTGAAGCTTGGGAGAGAAATCAGGGCTACAGGCACAGTTTTGAGAGTCATTCCTAAAAAGGTGGTAGATGAAACTGAAGTAGAGGAAGAGATCATTATGAGGGAAACTATAAGTGAAATAAAGTGGAACAATGAGAGAATTCTGTTGTTTTGGGAATGGTTAGAAAATGGAAATCATTTTGTAAAACCCCAGTCTTTGTATAACTGAAAGAAGACGAATTTCTAACGTATTTTATGGTGGTGGTGGTAAAACACACGCACACACACACGCACGTAATGTGTTTTTAATGTTTATTTTAGCTTTTCAAAATGTCCAACAAAGAATCTTGTGGAAAAAAAGAGAAGTCTCGGAGAAAAGGCAGCACCGCATCACCCAACTTTGACGTAGAAGTAAGAATTTTGCTTTACTGACCCAAAGATACCTTTTTTTGCAGTTCACTTTTGTGTTAAGAAAAAAATACCTCAGTTTTAAAATGAGCTATGTAAATATTTTGTTTTGCCCTTCTGACACAGAAGTAATTTGTTTTTCCCATCCTTTTTTTTCACCCATTCTTGCATTATTTTATTTATTCCTCACAACTCTGTGAAGTAGGTACTTTATTATCCCAATTATACAAATGCCAAAACTGAGGCTTAGAGAGGTATGTAATTTGCCTAGCCATTCCTGACTTGAGTTCTAGGCCCTCCTTTACATAGAAATAACTCACCATTATACCTTTATTGTGTGTCTCCTTCTTCATTTACTCAGCACTGGATAAGATTATATGCTCATCAGTCAGAATAGGCTACCCTGTGCGGGGGAGGCTAAAGGTAGGGACGGCATGCTCACCATGTGCCTTTCTCTGTGACTCTCAACACATTACCTTAGGAAGTACTTAAAAAAAATTTTTTTTAGTATTTATTCATTTTTGAGAGAGAGAGAGAGCAGGAGAGGGACAGAGAAAGAGGGAGACACAGAATCTGAAGCAGGGTCCAGGCTATGCCCTGTGAGCACAGAGCCCGACATGGGGCTCGAACTCACAAATGTGATATCATGACCTGAGCTGAAGTTGTAGGCTTAATTGACTGAGCCACCCAGGCTCCCTGGAAGTTTTGTTTTGTTTTTTAAGTTTACTTATTTATTTAAAGAGAGAATGAGAATGAGTGGGGGAGGGGCAGAGAGAGGGAGACAGAAGATCTGAAGCAGGCTCTGCGCTGACAGCACAGAGCCCGATGTAGGGCTCGAACTCACAAAATGTGAGATCATGACCTGAGCCAAAGTTGGACACTTAACCGACTGAGCCACCCAGGCAAACTAGAAGTATTTTAGCAGATGAAATTTAGGGTGTCCCAACTAATTGAGTGAAATGTTATCTCTAGGAAACAAGACTGAAACATGATTTATGTGACCAAAACAAATGAAAACCCTGCAATTAGTTTTATTATAAACTCTCTGAATAGTCTGCTTAGTGCATCATCAGAATTAGACAATGTTTATGCTACATTACCATCCAAGATGAGAGACTAAAGTCTAGCAAAGGTGAATATTCACTATAGAAGTGATTTCTGTGGTAGCAGATTAGTTCATAAGGCTTTTACATCACCTGGATAAAGTAGACTAAGGATCATTACACTTTTTGATGTTTGTTCCTTTCTTACTATCTGATTACTAATTTGACCTCCCAGATATAGGGATAATTGGAAAGGGGACCCTGGAGTATGGCCTTACAGTACTATGGTATCTTTGATTTATGTATCTTCTATTTGGCACTGATCATTGGCATGCCATTTGCAATTCTCCTCCTATTCTCTTTTAATCTCCTTGAATCAGACTTTTTGTTGCCATCACTCCTCCAAATGTGCTCTCATCAAAGCCAGCAGCAGTGGTTTCCATGTTGCTAAATCCATTTGTTGCTCTTCAGACCTCATCTGACTTGAACCATCAGCAGTATTTGACATAGCTGATTCACTTTCTCCTTGAAACATTTTCTTCACTTAACTTTTGAAACACCATATTCTCCTGATTTTCCTCCACACTGGTGACTTCCTGGAAGTGTCCTCTGTTGATTCCTCATCTTCTTAAACTATAACCTTTCAAATGCCCAGCTTCGGTTTTTCCAATTTAGTAAGTTGCAATTCCATTCTTTCAGTTGCTTGGGGCAAAGTCCTGGTCATCATCCTCTACCTGCATCCAGTCTATCAGCTTTCTCTTAATAATATATTTAGAGCCTGACTACCTCCTGTGCTGTCACCTTGATCCAGACAATCAGCTTGCTTCTCCAGATTGTCCCAGTATTTTTCGTATTGATCTCCCTGCTGCCACCTTTGCCTCCTCATGTTCTCTTCTCACCAAGCTGCCAGAATGATCCTATTAAGATATAAGTCAGATCATGTCACTCCTCTGCTCTGTACTTTCTGGTGGTCTTCCATTTCCCCCAGAGTAACAGCTAAAGTCCTAGCTGGGGCCAACAAAGCAATCTGCTCTCCCCATCTCATCTCCTTTCATTCTCTCATTGCTTTCTCCATTTGTGTTTTTTTGCTATTATTCCAACAAGCCAGGCACATTACTGCCTCGGGGGCTTTGCCCTTGAACTGAAAGCTCTTTCCCTAGATATTCATGCGGCTTTTTCCTTCACTTCTTTAGGTCTCCAGTCAGATGTCAGCTTATCAGTGGGGCCTTTTTCTGACTACTGTTTAAATTTGCAGCCACCTGCACCCCCACCTTCCAGCCCTTCCTGCCTTCTTTCTCTGTTTTATTGTTTTCCATCGCATCATCCGACACTAAATCTATTACTTGTTTATTTGTAAATTCCTGCACTAAATTTTAACCTCCATGAGGGCAGGGGCTTTTGTTCATTAATCTGTCCCCACTGTCTAGAATGGCTTTGGTACATGGTAGGTACTCAGAGTTTGTCCCGGGTCTGCTGAGTTTTGGATCCACTGAAACATAACTGGATGTATGATTTTGCTTTATAAAAGACTGAATTCCACCATGGCAGCGCCACCTCCCCGTACCTTTATCTGAGCCATCAGCTGTCTTCTGCTGTAACACCTGTATCCTATCTCATCTCTAATTCAAGAGCATCTAGATCCTCTGATTTCTAGTTGTCTTCTTTCTGGCTGAATTTCCCTCCCTCTTACCAAAGGATGTGTGCCTTTAAACATTTCCCCCCCTGAAGGTTATTATTAATATAGAAAGAATATTAATTTATAATAACAATGGTTAAATAACACACTATACTTTATTTTGTGTCTTTCTTTCCTTTTTTCCACTTGGCATTCTTAGGATAAGAAAGAGAAAAAAGCTTCAAGTTCTCCTAGTTCAGCTTGCTGTGTAAGGTCTGTTTCATCAGAGAAGAGAAAACTGGTAAGTGTTCATATACTATAACTAACTCTAAACATTATTTATATTAAAGTTTTAATGTATAATTGGAAAGTTTATGATATAAATTCCCCCACGACTTTTTTACTCATATTTTCTTTATACTTAATGATAGCCAATAGAAAAAAAATAAACCAGTGTTTGGTTTTTTTCTTCCTTCTCACCAAAAAGCACTAATCAAGGCCTTCATTTCTTTCTGGAGATACAGGGCCTCAGCACAAGAGAAGAAAGAGAGAAATAGGATATAGTCCCTGTCCTAAAGACTTTAAAGAATAGAGAGAAGTAGAAGCACATGCACGGATAACTTAACGAAAGGACATACCTCAGTGTCAAAGCAGAAAAATGCACAATAAGTTGTAAAAGAATTCAAAACATCAATCACCAAGACTTGGAACATACTTAGGAAAAAAAAGGTGGACGAAATATATGCTAACGACTGAATATAGATGGAATAAAGATGAATGAGTTAAAGAAAAAAGGTTTTCTTGGCTAAGAAAGCTTGGGCATTCTAAGAATCTATAGATGACTGGAGTGCATTCAGCAGAGAGAAAATAAACCAGCCTACCTATAAACAGAAGGACTATTTTGAGGAAGAAAAATAGAACCTACCATGTGGGATCAGACAACATGGATATAAATTAAGATAGTTTTAAAAAGTCTTGTCCCATATATGATTATATTTGGCTTTACACTATTCTTGTGAGATAGCGATGGCAGATATGTAGTGTTTGTGTTTTCAGATCCAGAAATTAAGATCCAGAAGGTTAAGTGACTTTGTCCAGGGACACAAAATTGTTTATAGCGACAGAGCCAAGTCCAGAGTCACATAAATAATTAGAAACACATTAAGCTAGCTCAGGGGTGGTTAGTGAAGTGCTTAACTACATTCAAGTTGAAAGTAGGTGTATGTGGGGATAGCTACAGGTTTGCAGGTAATGAGAGAAAGTAGTTGTGAAAGTTGTGTGAATGTAGAATTCTGTTTTTAAGAATTTGTTTTTGTACAGTGACACTGCTATTTGAATCGATTGTTTCTATATTAATCTCCTTAAAGCATAGGTTTCATCATATTTCTCCTCTGTTGAAAAATCTTCACTCACTTTTTAGTCTGTCATTTAGGACCTTCTTAAATTCAGTCACACCTTAACTCTCCAGTTCTCTTTTTATTTCCTCAAAATAGTCCTTCTGTGTCTAGGTAGGTTGGTTTATTTTCTCTCTGCTGAATGTGCGCCAGTCGTCTGCAGCTTCTTAGAATGCCTAAGAAGCTTAGAATGCCTTAGAATGCCTAATGCCTTTCTTAGCTGGAAAAACGTTTTTTCCTTAATTCATTCATCTTTATTCCATCTATATTCAGTCGTTAGCATATATTTTGTCCATCTTTTTTCTTAAGTATGTTCCAAGTCTTGGTGATTGATGTTTTGAATTCTTTTACAACTTATTGTGCATTTTTCTGCTTTGACACTGAGGTATGTCCTTTCGTTAAGTTATCCGTGCATGTGCTTCTACTTCTCTCTATTCTTTAAAGTCTTTAGGACAGGGACTATATCCTATTTCTCTCTTACTTCCCTTGTGCCGAGGCCCCGTGTCCCAAGTACATAGAGAGACAAGGTGGGGGAGTAGAGATAGTGGCCACAGCTGGTTTCAGTCCTGGCTCTGCTGCTGACTTGCTGTGTGATGTTGAGAAAGATACTTTGCTGTATTTGAGCCTTGGGTACTTTATCTGTAAAAGGGGAATGATTATATTATCTATCTCACAGGATTTATTGGAAGGATTAAATAAATTGTTGTGTCATCCTATTCACTAACACATAGGTGTGGAAAAAAATGTTGTCTCCCAGTCTCTTTCCCCTGTAACTGTGGTAAAAGTGCACAATTTATATTTCCTAAATGATACATTTTTTTTTCTTTCAGAAATCGGATCATACAGACATTCTGTACTGTGATATAAAAAGACAAGAAGTGAAAAGGTAAATTCCCCCTTTTTACTGATATTTTTTACTTTTTGGGCCTTAGAATTGTGAAAGTAAATATTTTGATTTGCAAATTTTTTTTTACTTTGATTAGTACTGATTTGCATATAAATATTTCTAGCTGTATCACAGGTTATGATTTTTTAATTTTTTTTAATTTTTTTAAAGTTTATTTCAGAGAGACAGAGATAGCATGAGTTGGGGAGGTATAAAGAGAGAGGAGGAGAGAGAGAATCCCAAGCAGGCTCTTTGCTTCTAGTACAGAGTCTGATGTGGGGGTCAAACCCATGAAACTGTGAGATCATTACCTGAGCGGAAACTAAGAGACCGACGCTAACCCTTCATTATTGAATTTTCTTAATGTTAGTGTAGATTTAATAAAAAGTTGAGTGAAATAAAAAGTCTTGTCACAATTCTGTGCTTTCAAGTAAATGACCCTTTCAAGTAAAATGCTAATTTTTATCTCAGGTGATTTGATTTTGACTCACCCTTAGAAGTTTCATGACTTTGTTACATATAGTGATAGAAGAAGTTGTGTGGCTGGTTTAGAAATGTTATAAATTAAAGATGAATTACATATTACCTCTGAAGAGAATGTGGTGCATATTGAATTGGTATGGTTTCAAAACTGTGTTAATTAAAGAGGATATGGCCACAACTAGATAGCTTGGGGAAAAATGGTAGGAACCGTGGAGATTATTTTTCTTTAGTTTCTGTGTTCTTTGGATAAAAATTTCAGAGAATTTTGTGGTGAAGGCATTTCTTGCCACTAATAGGGTACAAATAATTATAAAAGTATGCATAATAAAAGTTGATGAGATCATAGTTTCTCTGAAAATAAGGAGTTATGGGAAAATGATAAAATGGCATTAAGTATATACATAAAATTTCTGCTTCACAAACTTTGCTAAAAACAAGAAAATTCAACTTGCCTCTAGCTTTTCTTCAGCTTTTTTTTATTGTCTTCTTTCTTTGTGATACTTTGCTTCTTATATTATTATCGGTTGAAGTACATTCTGTCATAAATTTCACATTACGTTGACTATTACTTTCTAAATTTTTTAAAATATTTTTTATTTTTTAATTATATTTTTTTAATTTACATCCAAATTAGTTAGCATATAGTGCAACAATGATTTCAGGAGTAGATTCCTTAATTTAGCCCATTCCCCCCTCCAGTAACCCTTTGTTCTCCATATTTAAGAGTCTCTTATGTTCTGTCCCCCTCCCTGTTTTTATCTTATTTTTGCTTCCCTTCCCTTATGTTCATCTGTTCTGTGTCTTAAAGTCCTGATATGAATGAAGTCCCATGATATTTGTCTTTCTTTGGCTGACCAATTTCGCTTAGCATAATACCCTCTAGTTCCATCCACATAGTTGCAAATGGCAAGATTTCATTCTTTTTGATTGCCAGGTAATACTCCATCAAATGTATGTGTGTGTATGTATCTTCTTTATCCATTCATCCATCTATGGACATCTGGGCTCTTTCCATACTTTGGCTATTGTCGATAGTGCTTCTGTAAACATTGGGGTACATGTGACCCTTTGAAACAGCATACCTGTATCCCTTAGATAAATACCTAGTAGTGCAATTGGGTAGTTCTATTTTTAATTTTTTGAAGAATCTCCATACTGTTTTCCAGAGTGGCTGCTCCAGTTTGCATTACCACCAGCAATGCAAAAGAGATCCTCTTTCTCTGCATGCTCGCCAACATATGTTGTTGCCTGAGTTGTTAACGTTAGCTATTCTGACAGGTGTGAGGTGGTATCTCATTGTGGTTTTGATTTGTATTTCCCTGATGATGAGTGATGAGGAGCATGTTTTCATGTGTTGGTTGGCCATCTGGATGTCTTCTTTGTTTTTTTTTTTTGTGTTTTGTTTTGTTTTTTTTAATTTTTTTTTCCACGTTTTTATTTATTTTTTTGGGACAGAGAGAGACAGAGCATGAACGGGGGAGGGGCAGAGAGAGAGGGAGACACAGAATCAGAAACAGGCTCCAGGCTCTGAGCCATCAGCCCAGAGCCTGACGCGGGGCTCGAACTCACGGACCACGAGATCGTGACCTGGCTGAAGTCGGACGCTTAACCGACTGCGCCACCCAGGCGCCCCTGGATGTCTTCTTTGGAGAAGTGTCTATTCATGTCTTTTGCCCATTTCTTCCTTGGATTATTTGTTTCTTGGGTGTTGTGTTTGATAAGTTCTTTATAGATTTTAGATACTGACCCTTCATCTGATATGCTGTTTGCAGCTATCTTCTCCCATTCTGTCCGTTGCCTTTTAGTTTTGCTGATTGTTTCCTTCGCTGTGCAGAAGAAGCTTTTTATTTTTATGAAGTCCCAATAGTTCATTTTTGCTTTTGTTTCCCTTGCCTCCGGAGGTATGTTGAGTAAGAAGTTGCTGTGGCCAAGATCAAAGAGGTTTTTACCTGCTTTCTCCTCGAGGACTTTGATGGCTTCCTGTCTTATATTTAGGTCTTTCATCCATTTTGTGTTTATTTTTGTGTATTTTGTGTATAAGAAAGTGGTCCAGGTTCATTCTTCTGCATGTCGCTGTCCAGTTTTCCCAACACACTTGCTGAAGAGACTGTCTTTATTCCATTGGATATTCTTTTCTGCTTTATCAAAAATTAGTTGGCTGTACATTTGTGGGTCCATTTCTGGGTTCTCTATTCTGTTCCATTCATCTGAGTGTCTGATTTTGTGCCAGTACCATACTGTCTTGATGATTACAGCTTTGTGGTATAGCTTGAAGTCTGGGATTGTGATGCCTCCTGCTTTGGTTTTCTTTTTCAAGATTGCTTTGGCTATTCAGGGTCTTTCTGGATTTTTTAGGATTATTTTAGGATTATTCTAGCTCTGTGAAGAATGCTGGTGTTACTTTGATAGGGATTGCATTGAATATGTAGATTGCTTTGGGTAGTATTGACATTTTAACAATATTTGTTCTTCCTATCCAGGAGCATGGAATCTTTTTCCATTTCTTTGTGTCTTCTTCAATTTCTTTCATAAACTTTCTATAGTTTTCAGTGTATAGATTTTTCACCTCTTTGCCTAGATTTATTCCTTGGTATTTTATGGTTTTTGGTGCAATTGTAAATGGGATCGATTCCTTGATTTCTCTTTCTGTTGCTTCATTGTTCGTGTATAGGAATGCAACTGATTTCTGTGCATTGATTTTATATCCTGCAACTTTGCTGAATTCATGAATCAGTTCTAGCAGTTTTTTGGTGGAATCTTTTGGGTTTTCCATGTAGCGTATCACATCGTCTGCAAAGAGTGAAAGTTTGACCTCCTCCTGGCTGATTTGGATGCCTTTTATTTCTTTGTGTTGTCTGATTGCAGAGGCTGACTTCCAATACTATGTTGAATAACAGTGGCAAGAGTGGACATCCCTATCTTGTTCCTGACCTTAAGGGGAAAGCCCTCAGTTTTTCCCCATTGAGGATGATATTAGCATTGGGTCTTTCATATATGGCTTTTATGATCTTGAGGTATGTTCTAGCTCTACTTTCTTGAGGGTTTTTATCAAGAAAGGATGCTGTGTTTTGTCAAATGTTTTCTCTGCATCTATTGAGAGGATCATATGGTTCTTGTCCTTTCTTTTATTGATGTGATGAATCACATTGATTGTTTTGCAGATATTGAACCAGCCCTGCATCCCAGGTATAAATTCCACTTGGTCGTGGTGAATAATTTTTTTAATGTATTGTTGGATCCAGTTGGCTAATATCTTGTTGAGGATTTTTGCATCCATGTTCATCATGGAAATTGCTGTATAGTTCTCCTTTTTAGTGAGGTCTCTGGTTTTGGAATCAAGGTAATGCTGGCTTCATAGAAAGAGTTTAGAAGTTTTCCTTCCATTTCTATTTTTTGGAACAGCTTCAAGAGAATAGGTATTAACTCTTCCTTAAATGTTTGGTAGAATTCCCCTGGAAATCCATCTAGCCCTGAACTCTGGTTTTTGGGGAGATTTTTGATTACTAATTCAATTTCCTTGCTGGTTATGGGTCTCTTCAAACTTTCTATTTCTTCCTTTTTCAGTTTTTAGTGTATATGTTTCTAGGAATTTGTCCATTTCTTCCAGATTGCCCATTTCATTGGCATATAATTGCTCATAATATTCTCTTATTATTGTTTTTATTTCTGTTGTGTTGGTTGTGATCTCTCCTTTTTCATTCTTGATTTTATTTATTTGGGTCCTTTCCTTTTTCTTTTTGATCAAAGTGGCTAGTGGTTTATCAATTTTGTTAATTCTTTCAAAAAACCAGCTTCTGGTTTCATTGATCTGTTCTACTGTTTTTTGGTTTGAATAGCATTAATTTCTGCTCTAATCTTTATTACTTCCTGTCTTTTGCTGGTTTTGGTTTTATTTGCTGTTCTTTTTCCAGCTCTTTAAGGCGTAAGGTTAGGTTGTGTATCTGAGATCTTTCTTCCTTCTTTAGGAAGGCCTGGATTGCTATATACTTTCCTCTTATGAACGCCTTTCCTGCATCCCAGAGATTTTGGGTTGTGGTGTTATCATTTTCATTGGCTTCCATGAACTTTTTGATTTCCTCTTTAACTTCTTGGTTAGCCCATTCATTCTTTAGCAGGATGTTCTTTAGTCTCCAAGTATTTGTTACCCTTCCGCATTTTTTCTTGTGGTTGATTTCGAGTTTCAGAGCATTGTGGGCTGAAAATATGCCCGGTATGATCTCGATCTTTTTGTACTTGTTGAGGGCTGATTTGTGTCCCAGTATGTGGTCTGGAGAACATTCCATGTGCACTGGAGAAGAATGTATATTCCACTGCTTTAGGATGAAATGTTCTGAATATCTGTTAAGTCCACCTGGTCCTGTGTGTCATTCAAAGCCATTGTTTCCTTGTTGATTTTTTTGATGAGATGATCTGTCCATTGCTGTGAGTAGGGTGTTGAAGTCCCCTACTTGTTATGGTATTACTGTCAATGAGTTTATGTTTGTGATTAATTGATTTATATATTTGGGTGCCCTCAC